TCAATACTTAATTGGATATTTCCTTCTATACTTTTTAGCACGTAGCTATTTATTATTAGCATTATTCTTCCGACGTCTGATTTCTTTTTAATTATAGGAAATGTGTTTTTCTAAGGTACATAAACTTTTGGGATTTATAGCCAATACATCATTAATGTTCACCTTCTTTTTTTATCGATCGTGTGCTCGCGGATAGGTTGAAGCGTCGGAGAGAGTGGCAAAATTTTAGGGTTGCGCGTAAACGTCCTTTCGTTCTATTCGATTTTCAGCGCCTTCTTTCCACCCTTGTTGTACGATTGTCGGTAGAAGTCCGCGAAGAGGATGAAGAAGATCGTCGAGTGAAGTAGAAGAAGCGCCGCTACCAGTTTCGGATAACCGCAGTCAAACACCAAAGCCTGGGCGCTGTGCACGAACACCATTAAGAATTGCACCTGCGAACAGCAGAACGTGTTGAACTCAAAGGTCAGTAGAATTTTCTATTATTCATACATAGACTGCAGATTTTTATGCATGATATGAGATTATGAGATTATGATTATGTGATTTTTATGCATCTATTTATAAGTTTAAAAAATGTGATCTAGGTAAACATTTATTCTATTATTTAAATAGTGAAATAAGTATTCAGATTTTGATATCCTTATAAATGTATACAATCTGCAGTCTAATAATTAATCAATCTCTTCACATTAAACATCGCTGCGACCTCAGAATTTCAAGTAGCACTGCAATTGCGAATATCTAATTAATTCTTGAGACAATATTTGCTCATTGAACGACGCGTCTAACGAAGTGGAAATAGTATAGAATGTTGACGCCTTTCCCTTGGTTCGAGAAGTGCAAAGTGTCGCAAGCGAATCTGACGAATTAATGTGGGTACCGTACATTATTATTTACAATCACGGTATAATGACGCAACGGTAATCGAGCGATGATCACATAGAACACTGCGCGACAATCTGGCTGCGTACTCCGCGTCTGATTAATGCATGGAAAAGTGAAACTTCATTGCCAAATGACGCGTAAACATATTAAACGAAACAAACGATTGCTAGGATGAAACGTTAGCTTGATGCAATTCCGAGTCGCACTATGTTAAATCAGAATTTACGTGGAGAACCTCCCTACGAAAATGTCATTGGGTTAACTGAAAGGGTATGTCATTCGGGCCCATTAAAACTTATAAAGTCTAAAAGTCTTTCATCTTTATCGGAGAGTCGAGCGAATACTATTTGCAGCAGGTCGTTAGGAACGGTTGCGGAACATCCTTGAGCAGGCTCGGCGAACATCTGTGAGTCCGGGAAAGGACAGCTCGGTGTTCTTTTGTGCGGAAAGTCAATGGTCTTGCGAGATAAAGGCAAATCGGTAAGTAAGAGCATGTACATATAGGCGAGACATGCGACCGTTTATTTGTGTTATGGTGTCGATGTTTGAACAGTCACGATGGTGTTGGTGCAAATCCGAATACCAAATTGTTGCGCCACCGCGACGGAGTCGGCCAGATCCGGCCAAAGCGAGTCAGCCTGCAATTGGCCAAGCGTTGTACTTTTTACTTTCCCTTGCCCCTACCACCTTTTGGGTGCGCGCGAAATTTTGTCCAGACATTTCCACGGGTGGTCAACGATGGCCCAGAATCCGTCCGAAACCCACCACTTTATCTTACGCTTCTTTCATCTCCGTACTTTCAACAGGAACTTGTCCATGTCGTCAATTTTCTTTGTCATCGTCCGATGCGAGAAATGTCATTATCAGAGGGTTGCAAAATTTAGCTCCGCTTGCTCATTATTCACATCAGTAGATAAATCGAATCGTTGTTACTTGCTGATAAAATTCTGTAGGAAAATTCCTGAATAATTTAAAGAACGTTGATCATTCCTTCATTGCTATTTCGTTTCGATTGCTTATCCCTTTCAAATGGGTTTGCACTCTTCGATGCACCCTGTGCTTGAACAAGTGCACGTATACGACTTGGCACCGTTCACTTTCAGCCGTACGCGGTTTATTATCCAGCCAGGCTGCAACACCGGGCTGTTGTGCAAGAAGAAGGTATCGCGAATCTCGCTCTAAAAAGTATTTGGTGCCGGTAGCTGCTTATTGCGCGAGCTCGACACGGTCACGTGCATGCACGTGCTCAAACAACGCACCGAGATCTCCGAGTCATTAGCAGTTCGTCCATTTGTTCATATTCTTCTTTCTGTTGAGCCCTTCATGTATAACATGAATTTCATTTTGTACATGTTTAAATTAGTTAATTTAGTTTGCACAAGGGAGTGAATTGCGTACGGTTGTCAAACGTTAGGTGCACATTAGAGAGCAGTATTGCCGTTCGTTGATGAACGCAGGAATTGGTGTAATAGGTTCCTGTTACCACACTGCAACTGCGGCTGTATGTACGTTCGTTACACGTGCAAGAGTAAACGTAATCAAACGTTTCTAGTTTTTTGCTTTAATTCTTGATTATTGACGTCACTGTCGGAAACGTCGTGTTCTATCGGGCCTCGCTATCATCCGTGCTTGAGATGTTCGCCTAGATCAGATATATTCGTTCGATTTCCCTCGAATAATGGGTATTGTTTCGATCGAGGAGCAATGCGATTATGTGTAGGCGACCGCATATGAAATGGTGCTGCATGATTTGTTAACAGTGCTAAGAAATTATTGTAGATAGATTATGATAATTGAGAGTAGAATCGTTCGTATGAAATTTGTACTGCATACTGAAAACAAATTTGATTACATTTTACAATACCGTATCTGAAATTCAATTATTTACCATTTGCATCGTGGTCAGGTGCTTTTTCCACCATAAATACTTCTGGTACTCCGGCCCCATGGCGGATACCATGTAGTAGAGATACATTATAACATGCACCGTGTTGTTTATAAGGTTTCCCAATGTGCCGTGACCACCGGCGATGAATTTCACGCAAATCCACGTCTCCAGCGGCGTTAGGGAGTGATGGTACAGGTGCAAGAACGTTACCTGGCTGTCCTTCTTGCGCAGCACGAAGAATATCTGAAAAGAGCGTTCATTCAATTATGCAAAATAAAACATTCATTAATTTAATAAACGTGATTTGCATAGAAATTTAATTCATCATCATAGAAGTGTATTGACGCGTGCAATCAACTTTTGATTTTTATCATGTACTTTGGAAATATTATATTCTGTCCGCGTCGAATCCTTCTCGAAATGCATAAAAGTGTAGTTCTAAGTAATGAAGCATTAAAGCGCGTGTTAAATATGAATTATTCTATCATAATATACGATCGTTGTATTCGATCGAATCTTATTTACCCGCGCAATACGCTCGATGCCTTCGGCTGTCTCCTTTCCGCAAGAAGAAACATAAGCCGCGATACGACGATACTATCAGAGTGGTTTCTTTCTCACGTCTACAGAAAATATGCTATTGTATCCACTGTAGCTTTAGAAGGATTAATTACGGTAATTGATAGATTGAATTTTTATGCAAACTAAAATCTTTATGGTGTCAATTATAAAAATACATTTTACATTGGAATCTGTCTAACTATTTATGCATTGCGATATTCGATCGACTTCGGATATTTTGCATATCTCTATAAATTACATGTAAAATTTTTTAAGCAATTTATTAACGGAACTGCATTAGCGTTTTGATATGTGCAAGAGCATATTTTCTGTACCTCTTCTATGAGTATCGAAACGAACAATTTGAATACGAGCTCACGTTGCAATAAGAGCAACAGGTTCTAAACTATAGCAGATCGTGTTTCTGCTTGAGCGACCGGTTTGCATTAGGAAAGAAACCCATGAAATCAGGCTTGACCGTCGTCTATGCTACTAATTTTTCGAGTTACGAAACCTTCGGAATCCTGTTGGTACGTACCGTGTCAGCGAATTCCGTGAATTTACTGATGAAGTACCACCAGCACAGATTCGCCATTCGCAGCGCAGAGGGATTGTGGGAGTAGTCCACTGGTTGACATTTATAGCTGTAGTCCAGTAGCCACCCAGACATCAGGTGCTGTGAAACAAGAGTTCACGGTCAGGATGCATTCCTTGGACTTTCATTCTTCCTGAGATAATAGTTCACAGCAGCTTTTGATAACGTTGTTTATGTTGCCTCTATTCATGGCAACGGGGAACGTTGAAGAAACTAGGTTGACACTTACGATAGAGCTGTTTAGAGTTTAGACTATTCACTTTTCATCGGTCTTGGAATGTAGATGAATATCAAGTTTTTTTTATTGGAAATAAAACCAGAAAGTATTGCGTCACGATAAGTTAATTGCCATCGATTGATAAGTAGTGTTAGTTGTAGCTACTTGTTTAGAAAACAGTTTGCTAGATCACGATAAAAATCTGTCTTGGGACAATGTACCAGTTACTTCCAACAGGAATCGTCGACACAAGTAACCAACTTCTTGCGGTCATTTCTTCTCCGTAGATGCGTCTCTACCGTAAAACGGAAACGAACGATTCGAACGAAATTCAACCGCTTCTTGCGCTCGTTCCGATGCAATTTTACACGAAGAACAAGCTAGAAACCCACTGAAAGAGAATTGTTGGTCGACTTTCCAGATAGCTTTTTGTTATTAACTGCTTCACACCAAGAAGAATTAGAAGATAACTTTCTAAGATGAATCTAGATTTTATAACATTGTTGTCAGTTAGAAAGACCTTTTATCCTCAGTTTTAGCACCATTCAATCAGAGTTGATTGAGGTACTGCAGAAACGCAGCGCCTGTTCCAATGAAACTCGCTTTGCGGTGAAGTGCGACGGTTTGTAGTGCCTCGTATGAAATAATCGTAGCTAAACGGATCTTTCTCGTTGCATCACGATTGCTAAACCACTTTATACATGTCAATGTAAAATGTTAATATAAATTTGGCGCATTTTCAAAATGAGAGCGCACTTATCGATTCTGGTCACTGGCCAATTATAATTGTTGCGGGACATTTCCGAAATTGGACAACGCATGGCATAACAACAAGCCGCTCGCTGCGGATACAAAGAATTGCGAACGAACGATTCGTGGAAAGTCGAAAACAGGATGCTTCGTCTTTAACGAACCGCGAGAGCCTCGAGTGTAATCGATTGGGCAATAAGTTTTGGAAGGCTCGCGAATCGACGCGATTATTTTCTTTTTGCTACACCGCTTTTTCGCCCGTTCGTCATCCCTGAGCATTCGTCACGTTACGGTGAACGCGAACTGTTCTTACCGCCAAAAAGTGGGCAATATTCCAGCAGAAATTATTTCAATTGAAAGATTATATTGTCATATAATGAATCCTAATCATAAATAATTTCAATTTCATTTCAAGTTTCAATTTCAAAGTTTTTACTTGAAATAAGATAATAGAAATAATTTTTATCTGTTCATTTATATTCTTACAATATTTTATTCGATTATACATTTTACAATCAAACGGGGGTATTTTTTTAAAAAGCTCTTCTGAGAAAGCTTGGGAAATCAACAGATTTCGGATTGTCAACTGTGAATTATCGGATCGCTTATCACGAACTTGTTACGCGCGTATCAGGATCTTCGCAGGTCTTCTGTCACGTTTTTGGAAAAGTTTCCGTGAATGTATTGACGTAGCGCGTTTGCTATCTTATCCACTGCGTCATTTTTTGTTCTATATTTTCTTTGTACAAAGTGGAATCAGTAATTTTGATGTTACTGACAAGGACACGTGTTGCGATTGCCCAACAATGACATCAACCTGCGACATCCTTTACAGTCCATTAAAATGGTTAAAAAAATTCAGGATAAGTTAATGCAATACTGTGTATGAATTAAGTCAAGCAGATATCGAATTCCGTCGATTTTATATATGCAATTGGGCAGAAAGAAACGAAGGGAATGCCTGACGCGATATGGTTTTTTTAACCATGCATGTGACCCAACACTTTCGTGTCGAGACGCATGCATTATGTTTGAAAGCTCTGATTTCAAATGATCGACAATGCCTATAAAAGATCAGGTGTGCTGATTGAGACAGTTATTTCGTAATCTAATCCCTTCGAATCTACATAAGAAAACGGAGTGAAACCTTTCCGATCGTCAAAATTACATGGTTTCAAGGTAATCACAATCTCTGTGGTCTTTCCACTATAAAATTTGGAGGACACGATACAAAGTGTAATTACAAAGTAAAACGACTAGATCAAGCAATCTCGACTTTCCAGTTAGTTTTCTTTACCCGAGTAAAATAGCTGCTTGATCTCGTTTATCGTTCCGATAAAATTTGCAGGCTCTTTGTCGAAGGTCTTTGTCCAGGACTTGCCGAATTGCATTAGAGTGTTTCGATTAGACGTCAGCAGCTCGCCCACGAAACGCAACACGGTTGAATGCACGCGGTAGCCGAACCCTATTCTATTGAAATCGTTCAGGCGATCGATATCGCGATCGGTTGTTTCCTTCAAGAAACGGTCTGGAGTCTAGGTCGTTGAAATACTCGAACTCGTTAACGCCTGGTGTATGAATAGTTTCGTTCGCTGTGTGCTTTCACTGTTACACTTCAGCACAGACTTAACGAAACCAACTGCTATGACTTTCGTAGCATAATCCTGCCACTTTTCGTAGCTCTGACATTTTCGTCTCGCAACCTACTTACAATCAAGAGAGAGAGAGAGAGAGAGGTTTGATAGCCGTGAACTTTGAATCCAGAGATGCACCGATCTCTCGCGAACCTTACACACTCAGCTATTTAGAGAAAGCCTGCAGGGTTTCGAAACGTCCTCGAAACTTTGCTGTGTGGTGGCTTTAACCACTTCACAACATTCTTCTATCCTCCTGCATTCCCTAACTGATTATGAGATTTATACACATAATTATATCCCATTCATACGTCTATAGAAATGAATGAACGAGACACTATGAAAATATAAATGAACAGATGAAAATTGTTTATGATCTTTCATAATTTTATATGAACTATCCAGGATTTATTGAATATTGGTTTGAACCATACAATTTTATTGATAGAACGTATAATAGACAATAAATACTTAGAAGAGTCAGATTCTGCATAGTTACAACTTGATCGTGTGAAAAGCTGGCGTGCTCTAGTAAACAGAAGACTGCCACTGGAGAGGAAGAGGGGGATCGAGCTACTTTCAAACAGGAACGATTAATAATTATCCGCCGGCGAGTTTCGAATCGCAGTCGCTTACCTCGTACATCATCCCTAAGGAGAAGATTACTTGGAACGCGTTGTACGCGACTAACGCCTCCCGTAGTTTGAAGGGTTTCTTGTTGGCCATCGCCCGTGGCCCGAATATCGTCACGCCGTAAAGGTAGAGGAGAACGATGAAAAGGGTGGGTATGGGTGAGTCCATCAGAGGCCAATCGTTGACCCGTGGATCCGAAACTGTGGTGAGAATCTCCGTGTATTGGTCCAGGGCCATCCTCACCAGACCCTGCGCACCCACCAGTGTCCGGTTCGTGTCCACTATCTCGATCAGTTCCGGTTCCCTCTCGACAACCAACTCTGCCGCCGCCGACGCCATTTCTGAAAGTTACATCTTCTTTCACTTTTCTATTCATTTCCACTTGAGAATTAATCATTTTTACAATTATATTACGAATAACTGATGTCATTAAATGTATCGGTATATTGAAACATTGCGTGAACGTAATGTTACAATCTTTAACGGACTGAGTTAATTCATTTTCTGAAGAGTGACTCATACTATCACTCTTAACTTGTTATTTTTGTGAGATCAGTAATAATCGTTTTCTCAAATGCCCTAACGGTAATTATAGAGCGATGGAAAATCACGTTTACTGGTGTATGGAGGAGTCAAGGACGAGTTGGTCAGTTACGTAACGAGCGAAACGTTATAAAAATTAATGAGGATCGTTAACTTCCAAATAAGTGCGATGACGGAATGCGAAAGTATATAAACTTCTTTCCCACCTGGCTTTTTTGATAGTGAAATTAAATTCCTAATTGCTCAGATTAATCGAAAATATGCAAAGGGAATTTAGATTATCACAGATATGTGATAATGTGATAAACAGAATGCATTTATTATAACAATTGTATTAAGCAAAGAATACATGATCAAATATTAGAAGTCGAATATATTATATTTTTTTAATCGATCGTTTTGCTTCGTAAATGTTATTGTTGTAAATAAAGTGTGTCTGATGGTAATCTCGCATTGGAAAAATCAATGAAAGCGTTATTGTAAGATGGTTTGGTAGAGCAATCTGTATATTCTGAACACGCACGCGAAGTTGATCGACGTCTGACGTTGTCCGGGTCAAGAAGTCTGCCAGTTGATTCCAATTACTTGGTACTGTGACAACTTTTGGACAGGGCATCGGCTCTTGTCAGTATCTTTACTTATTTCTTAACTTCGACTTCTGGGCATCGCGAAAGGAGCGTCGCCTTGCCCGTGGCGGTGGGGCATTGGGCATTGTGCCCGGGTGATCTCCGGAGCTGTGCCGGCAGGGACTTCGATCGCCGACAGGTTTTACCATGCCGGGTTGGTTCGCGCTGATGCGTCCGTCTAAAGTCCGTCTTAATTCGAATTACGGAACAATTTTCCAAGACCAAAATTCCTCATAAGCTCATTTTTCGTACCTAATGATTTTTCCGGTATCACTCCAGTAGTTCCAAAATTCGAGGAAGTTACAAAGCCACTTTGCCATCTGGCAAACATGAGGTAAGCCCCGAGGCGCGGCCAGAAAGCCAACATCAATTGTCAATTGACAGATGCATCGTGGCCACGATTGCAGTTTCAATATTCTAAATGATTCGATAGGTAGGTCGACTTTCGTCTCGTCACCGATTAACTCTCTCGATTTTCTCTTGAAACATCGTAGGGAATCAATCTTCTTGTCATCTAACATTTCACAACTTTTATTTTAGATTTCGGTTGCAAACATGTTGTTTGCTGTTTTCGCTGCTGAATGAAATTCTAATCGATTTATATGTATATGGAAAAAAGATCGAGCCCTTGTTCATTTCCCTAGCGGTTGCATTTCATAAGAGACGCGGTTTGCGCAACGGCCCGTTGCAAGTTCGTAGGCGCACGCATAAATGTTCGATTTTGCGTTGACGCAACCTCGTCGGCTGCAACTCGTTCTCGCGCGGCTCCCAGTATTCGCAAAAAAACGACAACATACGTTGACCTCCTGCTCCACTTTTCCTCGCCGAATTACACGGATCCGTCGTTATTGCACCGCTCGCCGGTCATAATTCTAATCGCTAGGAACAAAGACCTCGTATGCCTTGCTTAACTTCAACGTTTCATTCTTGCAATACATGTCGTATTTATCTTGAAGTGAAAAACGTGTCGCAATTCCGTTTAGACAGCATCATTTGCATATAGTTTTCCAATATAGATCACACTTCTATAAATCAATGATCTGAGAAAAAATTGTACAAAAAGATGAATGCTGTGGTCACGTGAATAATTAAAACTAACTGTTCAATCGCGCGTCATCGTGACTTTCGCTGTTTCAAAGAACACCAAGTTTGCATAAGTATTTGTTTTCCTCATTATATTCATAAGATTTCCGAAACTTTCTCCTTTATTTAATTTCTACAGAAGAGATGTGAACGGAAGTTTATCTATTAAGAAAAATATCGTTTATTTTGTGGCACGTAGTTAATACGAGTTCCACTTTCGAAACATGAAAGTTTGTAGCAAAGTCCGAAATTTTGAGGAGACAATCCATCAAGGATTTTTTATATAGGGTAATGGAAGAACGCAGGAATAATTTCTTACAAGCGTATCTTCTTTCTCCTTTGGAGAACGTTTAGCGCGGGAAAAATGACACCGTGCCACGTGTTTCGTGCGATTATCAAGCGAAATAATGCATCGCTCGTGAGAGTGCAACCTTGGAGTCACGTTATGCGTGAATCGCATAACTAAGAATAAGTCGAAAAGCTGCGGCACGTGTCGTCGAACGACGAAACCGTAATTTCGATCCACAAAACTGAAGTAACGATCGTACGAAATTGCGAAAATGCTGTTGCATCCGTTCCTACTCTGCTTTTTATGGCCGTTCTGTTCTGCTCGTTTCAGGCGAGTAAGAAACAAAACAAGCACGCGTTTAGGAAAACAGGCAGAAAGTTTTGTGAAATATACACGTATATATACATAAAGGATAATTAAACGTCTGAATACAAGGGAATAAAAATTGGGGTACATAATAGTTCAACAATAATTTATTGATTCACTCTGTATTAACTTTCGATTGGAAAGTTTGAATTATTCAAATTTCGGATCTATTTTCGTCTTGGGAAGATAGCAGGTACCATTCGATCATAACTTTCACTCGTACCACTTTTTTCGGGAATCTGTAAAAGGCAGCATTGAACTTTGAATTCCTTGGCCGATTCCGTTTTCTAGTAAGAGGAAGGTGCGCGTGAATCTGTCTCGTTCCAGGCCGTGGCGAACGGTACTCGTTACAGAGAAAGTCGAAAGATCGCGAGAGGTTGTAAAACACAAAAGGATGGTTCATCTGTCCAACCATCCATCCATCCATCCATCTATCGGTAGAAAGAGAGAAAGGCGATTCTCGGTTGAATGGGAACGTGGGGGCTCGAGTAGCATGTACCGTTGATCATTAAAGAGCGGTGACGATGACGCCGATGACGAGCTCGCGCTAAAACTCGCTTGCTAGGCTTAGAGTTTAGTGGGTAAGTGGGTCGACCGCCGACTTAAATCATTAAAGATCAGTCTCTACCGCGTCTCCTCCACCTGTCACGGTAACGTGTAGCGTACACGTTTCCCTCCACGGTCCATATTTGCCATTCGCCTCTCCTCTTCCCTCCCTCTTTACTTTTTTAGCTTTTGTCGCGTGACGCGGCAAGCGAAATCGCTTCAATGTACTCGGTGATGATTCTTGTCACAAGTTTTAATTACTGTAAAACTACTGTTAGTCAATTTGTTGTTTTTACTATAATCTAAACGATCGTTTGCTCACGACTTTCAAGATATAGTGATGCCCAACGTAACTCTTTATTAATTTCCCCTCAGCATCAGGAATCGAGCGATACATAAAAACAGATTCCTCCGAGTTTCCAAAGATTGTTCAGTACTCACAATTAGCCATATCTACATCATTTCTTATTTCTTCATAATCACAGGTTATCATAGTCGGTCAGCGAGTTTCCAATCACGTTTATTAATCCGTCATCGATTTCCCTGTTTCTTCTCACCGTTAACCTTGCCCATAAAATCTACACTTGCTCACTTATCATCCCATATAAATCGTCTTTTGTGAAATTTCTATTCTACGGAATTAATTATCACCAGACGCCTGCTGGCCTATTTTTTTATTCCGCTTCAGGCTTTTTACTTTCTTGTCTTCAAGAGAAAATTCATGGTCGCCTACTTTAGTTCATGAAAATTCTTTACAATAGATCGTCCGTTAGATCGTTAAATATCGAATTGTATCACGTTAGCATCGAGTATTATTCACGCGAACTTGAGAAAGTAATGAACTTGTTTCATCAATTTCATTTGACCTGAAAACTGTTATCTTGTTTCGGGTACCAATGTTAATATCTCAAGCGCACATGGTTTTCCAAACTCGTTTATAGCATTCTATTAGACTGAGATAAACTTAACGGTACCGATCTATGGATTCTGAATGACACTTCCACGTTCCCCGTTGAAGATAGCCGACACCGACTCTCCACTTCTCACTTTCATCTCACAATACGCGCCTTCACCGGAACGGTACTAGCTCCACAGGTGTCCCCGATTGCCACTTCAACCACGTTTTTCATTTACCACATACGAACTGTTCGATTCAAAGAGACATACATCGTGTATATCATTTGATACACGATTTTCAATTTTAGAAACGAAACATTTCATACGCCGCACCTAATGCGAATAAATTCTGCGGATCTCGAAAGTTTAACGTCGATCTAATAAATCTTTTCCATCGAAGAGTCTTCTCTACTCGGTCAGTAGTGTTTAAAAAGGCAATCGGCAATCCTTTCTCCGTGTTTTGCTCTGTTAATTAAATACAGACGGTGCGCGTGGCGTTCGATAAGATGTAGAAGACGTTTACCTTGGTCAAGAATCGATGAGGAAGGCGGAATGCGAGTACAGTTACGGCGGATTGCTAATGATTCAAATCAGTTTTTTTCAATCGAGATCAATGTATTCTATCTCTCGTAACTTGTTCACCTTAACGTTGTTGCAAGTTCAAGTTCACTGATACTTAACCGTTACCTCCACGTGTTCAACCTTACAATAGTAATTCTCTATTTACTGCGTCGGCGTCGATCGGCATCGAAGGCCATCGTTAATTAC